GAAACCTGCATTTTATTGACACTGCCATTTTCCCACAGAGAACGTTAGAAAGAAATCACCCTTTTCTTTTAATGAATGAGCCCACTGCATTCCTGAATCATTCTCTGAGAAAAGCACCAGGTACAATTGACAGCCACGCTTTTTAAAATAAAACAGTGACTAACTGAAGCTCACACCTCCATACCTTATCTAAGTGCACCACGGTTGTTCTTCCCATAAGATCAGCTTCTCCTCCTATTTTGGTATTACTACCACAAGGACAGACATTTTCAATCAGGAAAAAAAGTCTAGTTACAATACTGAGCAGCAGCCCAAGTGAGGCCCTTTACCATGACTTCCAATTCGCTGTGCAATCCACACTGCAGAGATACAAGGATAAACCACCATTTTGGTTCCCAAGTTTTATTCAAGAACTCATACAAAATATTGAAGATAAATGAATTTTCATCCTCATCTTCCTCCTCTTCTTCATCCTTGTTAATTTGAAAGTAACGTAACTCGTAACTCTCTTTGCTGTTAGCAACTACGCGCAACCAATCACGTAGATTATTCTTCAAATATTTTTTGGTGAGATATTTCAAATACCTTTTGGAAAAAGGCACCTCGGAAGTCACAGTGATCTTGCTCTTGCTCCTTTCAATAGTCACAACTCCTCCACCGAGATTCCCAGCTTTTCCGTTCACTTTGATCCTCTCTTGCAAAAACTGCTCAAAATTGGCTGCATCCATGATTCCATCTTCTACAGGGTGGGTGCAATCAAGAGTGAACTTCAGAACCTGCTTCTTTTTTTTGCCCCCCTTCGCCACAAGCTTTTTCACAGGCGCCATGGCGGCAGCGGAGGCAGAAAGGGAGCTGTTCCAGATTTTTTACATGCTGCACAATAAAACTTTAACGGAAGGAGTGAAGGTGGAGCGTGAAACGGACAAGAGGCTGGCGGCTATGCGGTAGTTGTCAGCGGGGTAGACCCCAATGTATCTGAGAGCATTCCAAAAAGGATTGTGAGGATCTGGAATTTTAAAGACATAGTGGGAAAAGCGGGCGCCTCGGCCTTAAAGGGTGTTGAGTCTCACTGCGCGCCACCGTCTTTCAGTCTTCAAATGCATTTCCCTCACAGGCAATTAAGCGTGTCTCTACTTTTTATCTTCATTTGTGAAATTGTCCAAGGAAACCAAATTGGTTTTGCTATAGGGAAGCTGATGATTATGGAACAGAATTAAAGCCAACATTTCTGTGACCAAGCAGAAAACACACGGAGAGTGGCCATTTTGCTTAGTCTGTCTTTGACTGAGCATCCGTCTGTGTTTGTGCACATGTGTGCATGGTGGGCTGCGGGGGGGTGTGCGGGGAAGGGTACCATGTGCACATCCACTCTTCAGTCATCCATTAGAAAGTAAGGTGTGTGCTACTCTGTTTCCTTCTAGATTGTTTCATCTATTTGGATATTTAACCTCTATTCACAGAGGAATAAGTTAATCAGAAAACTCAATCTGTTTCAGGTGTTACCTTCTCCAGGGACACAGTCTCGAGAGGTGGGCCTCTTTTTCTTTTCAATTAGTTGTACCCTGTGACCTAAAAACTGATTGGGTTGCTCAGTCCTTCAGTTATAAAATGTTGCTGATGCAATGCAGCAGACCCTTAGGCAGGTCAAGACTTAGAGAGAATTTGCTTCGGGTTTGATTTCTGGCTGTTCTTAAGATTTCATTAAAATAGACTATACGGTTTAATATTTTTGAATGTTAGAATTGTTTAACTTCCTTTTCTCAGAGATTCACAAGACTAGTTTTACTGAGACGGTAAAATCACACAGGATATAGAGATAGTTCTCCTTTTCCAAGTCAGACTCTAGAAGAGGGGTTGGCAAATTTTTTACAGAGAGGGACAGAAAGCAAGTATTTTCTTTCTTTCTTTTTTTTCTTTATTTTAAAGATGTAGGGTACAGGCCGGGCTCGGTGGCTCAGCCTGTAATCCCAGCACTTTGGGAGACCGAAGCGACTGGATTGCCTGAGTCCGCAGGTTCAAGACCCACCTGGGCAACTTGGCAAGACCTCATTTATCAAAATCAAAAATTAGCCGGGTGTGGCAGCGCACACCTGTAGTTCCAGCTACTTGAAAGACTGAGGTGGAAGGATCACTGGAGCCCAGCAGGTCGAGGCTGCAGTGACCGGGAGCATACCACTGCACTCCAGTCTGGGTGACAGAGTGAGACTCCAACTCAAAAAATAAAAATAAAAAATAAAAACGTAGGGTACCATTCAGGGTTAAGTATACAAATGTTCATTATGCAGGTACCCTTGTTGATGAGGTGTGCTCCTCACTGTTTCCTTCAACTGCCAATCACAACCCCCTTCCCTGGCAGTTTCCCACTATTACCAATCCCTTTCTGATGGTATCATGATAATTGTTCAAGGTCCACTGATGAGTGAGAGCATATGCTACTCTGTTCTTTGTGTCTGTGATAGATCCCTGAGTATGACAGTGATCCATCCAAGTTGCTGCAAAGTCCATAGGCTTGTCCTTCTTTATGGCTGTGTAATATTCCACTACGTATATGTACCACATTTTTTTAATCCAGTTCATCTTCGATGGGCGGTATGGCTGGTTTCCATGTTTTTGCTGAAAGCAAGAATTTCCAGCTTTGCAGGTCATACAATCTCTGCAGTAATTACTCAGCTCTGCCATTGGCAGAGGGCAGCCATAGACAATACGAAAACAAATGAGCAAGACTGTTCCAATAAAACAAGCATGGTTTTGGTATTTACAAAATCAAGCAGTGGACCATACTTGGCCTACAGGCCATGGTTGCCAACTCTTTCTAGAGCATAGCGAGGGGCTGGATTTCAAAAGGTGATCTTCAATCTGGCATCACAATAGGGGTTACTTTAAAATTGACTTGGGTGCCATGTAATTATTCATGACAGCATGGAGTGATGTTTTATCCACTTGTCTGCATATCTGCATCATATTTCACAATAAATTTTTTGTTTTGTTTTTTAAGCAAAGTATCAAGGGATCCAGGGAAGCTGGTTGGTTAAGGCTTAGAGGCAGTATACAAAGGGAACTTTTCTGGGAGGTCAAAAGTATTTCCAGAGATTCTGATAGATTAGAGGTCAAGTCAGAGGTTTTTCCAGAGATTGAGAGATTTGGGGTTGGAAGAAACTTAAATTATGCAGTACAATCTCTTTCCCAATGTAGGAGTTCCTTTTGCAACACTTCTGCAGGAGTTCAGTTAACCTCTGAAGGAATATGTCTGGGGCTGAGGGAAGGATTATCATTTTATAAAGCAAAATTTTTCTCTAATTATTTCATTCAATAAATATTCTTGAGCAACGACCAGGTTCAATTCATAAGGCTTGCCTCTTTGAGAACACAAATACTTGAGACACTGTCTGTTCCTTAGAGAACTTGAAGTCTAATGAAAGAAATATGACAGAACATAAATTATAGCAAAAGGTTTTTAAAAATAGGAAAAAGAGCCGGGCTCGGTGGCTCAGCCTGTAATCCCGCGCCTTTGGGAGGCTGAGGTGAGTGGATTGCCTGAGCCCGCGGGTTCGAGACCCGCCTGGGCAGCGAGACCTCATCTCTATAATAAATCAAAAAATCAGCCGGGCATGGTAGCGCATGCCTGTAATTCCAGCTACTCGGAAGGCTGAGGCGGAAGGATCGCCGGAGCCCAGCAGGTCGAGGCTGCGGTGGCCGGGAGCGGCCACTGCACTCCAGTCTGGGCGACAGAGTGAGACTCCAACTCAAAAAAAAAATAGGAAAAAGTTACTAGGACTTAAGGCATAATAAGGAAGGTAACCCAATTTTAAAATGAAGAAAGGACTTGTACAGGCCTTCCACAACCATATAAAGAGAGGGTCAACCTCATCAGTAACCAGAGAAAAACAAAGTAAAACCATAGGAAGGTGCCATTTCGCATCCACCAGAATGGCAGAATTTAAAAGTCAAAAAATTTCAGACATCGCGTGGATGTGGCGCACTTAAGATAGTTAGGCTTGTGTGGGGAATTAAACGAGTTTGTATGTGTTAAGTGCTTCGAGTCGTGCCTGGCATGCAGTGAGTGCTACATGAGTTAGTTGCCATCATCTGTCATTATCATCACCATGACCATCACTGAAATGATTACTGTGTACTGACAGTGGCAGTGTAAACTGATACAACCAATTTGAAAAACAGTGGGGCATTTTCTAACAAAGCTAAGTGGGTTCATACGCTATGGTCCAGCAATTCCACTCCTAGATATAAGCCCAAGAGAAACTCTTGCATCTGAAGACTTAGGCAAATGATCCATAGCAACGTTGTTCTTATGACCTAAAATCAGAATCATGCAGGTGTCTATAAACAGTGGAATGGGTGAATACTTTCAGTCTATTAATACACTGGAATGCCATACAGTAGCAGAAACGACACACCAGCATTGATGAATCTCATCCAGTTCATCTAAAGTGAAGATGCTGAGTCTTAATAATAATACATACAACACAATGTTGTTTATATAAAGTTCAAAACATACAAAACTTAACTACATATCGTTGAAGGATATGAATGTATAATAAAACTATAAAATAAAGCAAGACTATTATAAACCCCTGCTGTGGTCTAAATGTTTGTGAACCCCCAAAGTTCATATGTTGAAATCCCAAACCCCGGGGTGGTGGTATTAGAAGGTGGGGCTTTTGGAGGTGGACCTCTGCTTTTATGACTGCAATTGGTGCCCAAATAAAAGAGGCCCCAGAGAACCGCCCTGCCCCTTCCACCAGATGAAAACACGGTGGAAAAGTACCATCTCTGAACCAGGAAGCAGACCCCTGCCAGACTCGATCTGCTGGAGCCTTGATCTTGGAATTCCCAGGCTCCAGAACTATGAGAAATAAATTTCTATTGTTTACTAAGTGCTCTGTGTATGGCATATTGTTATAGCAGCCCAAACGGGCTAAGACTCCTCCAAGTTTAGAAGACTGGCTACTCCTAATGTGAGAGAGAGAAGGGGATGGATCTGGGGGAGAGGCCACAGGAGCCAACACAGGCAACATTTATGCTTCTTGTTTAAACTGGACGGTGGATATACAGGTGTCTAAGGCCTCGTGATCTCTTCTTTTATGTATTTCTTACACTTTATGAATATTTTATATCCACTCAATAATCAAGGAAACCTCATTATTTTAAAGAATGAAAGGGGAAGAAGTGGTTGCTTTTGACAGGAAGTGAAAGGCTGGAGGTCGCCATGGCGATGGGACTCCTCCCGTGTATCCGCTTGACCGAGTAGTGGTGGTTTACCAGGTGCTGCCTTGGGATTCTGCAGCCACCCTGGGCCCCAAATCAACTAGCAGCATTTGTCCCAGTCACAGATCTCAGGGGGTATCAGTACTTCCTGAGGATTTGGCATCCTTGAGGTGAGATTTTTCCTGTCCTGCAGCTGATCCACTATGTCCCATGATCTCCCTGTGAATCCAACGTCATCTGAGTTGGGTGTTGAAAGACAGTGGAGATTGAGGGGTCAAGGGATGCAGCACAAAAAAAAATCGCTTTTCTCTGTCTTGGTTTTGATAACCTTTTCCAAGTGAACATTTGTGGTTTTAGTTATTCTATCCTGCCTCCTTCCCAAAAAGTTATGGGCTTTATTTTAAGAAAGATAATATGGCTATTAAAATAGAAACGGAAAATTAAGGCCCTTATAATGAGAGAAAGAAGCAAGACTCTGAAGTCCTAAGCCAGTAATTTTTAAACTTTAGTGCACCTAAAAATAACTAGTGTTCTGTCCAAAGTGCAGAGTTTCAGGCCCAGAATCAAACTACTCTACCTCAATAGATCTGGGGTGAGGACCAAAGTCCACATGAACGAGCGCTCCA